GCGAACCGGGTCCCAGTGCAACAGATGATGATGGGTTTAAAAGGAGTTTTGAATTTAAAGCCGCGCAAGGAATTTCATAACTATTTCCTCAATATTTTAATATATAAGTGGAAGCAAAATTAATTGGAAATTATTACTCTTCAATCGAATTGTTCATTTTTTACAATATATTGTTCAATGTAGGACTCAATTTTTTCTAGCCTTGGAATTTAAGCGCGTCAAGTCGCAAGTGAAAGCAATACAACTACTTTTTTTGGTTACCTACTGACGTGTGAAGATATTAATCAATTTTCGAAAATATTTTAAGCTATTAAATTGAACAAAATTTAACTATTTTATTTACATTTTCCAGGGGATTGGTAGGTAGATTACAATGGTAGAATTACTGTTTTCTTACTAAAAAAAACAGATTAATAATTCTCCACTATAGGACAAAAATTGAGTTCCTGTATGAATGTCACTTAGCATGGTAATAAAAAACAAAGAGCGAATAAATGAACACAGGGACCGAAAATATGCAAGCAGAGAAAATGTATAAACAGAAACCACAATCAATTTTCCGATTTATTATGTTTTTATCATTTGAAATATTTAAATGTATAAATCAATTGTTCCACATAATTTCCCGTTGGATTAAAGTTCGTTTCATGAAAAGTTTCGAATTATTAAATAATAATTAATATCACGTAATTACAATTCTCAAGACTTTTTCACTGTTTGAAGTTGAAGTTTTCGTAAATGAATTCCATTCAATACGATCAACGAAAGAAAATAATATAGCGAAATACATAATTTTATTGCCGAAATATGTAATTATGCCGAGATAATTATATTTTTACAGACAATATATTTATGTTCGGTGAATAATATCTGAGATCACATGTCCAAGCTTTCAGCAGTTGAGTCGAAAGCATCACGAACGTGTAGCCTACTTAGGATTGTTTGAGACTCGCAGCTCCTTTTCTTGTCTTGTTTCTTAAAACAGTTCTGCCCTAATGAGCAGGAGCGCGTCGGCGCCGGGCCGGCGCGTACGCCAGTCTGGCGGACCGGGCGTGCGCAGCAAGCCCTGCGCGCGCTCGCACGCACCCACGCAGCCTCACGCGCAGCCCGGTGCGGCACGCAGCCCGCGGGCGGAGGCACGTGCGTGCGCCTGGTCGCTCGCTGGCGCGACGGCCTTTATGGCTCGCGACGGCGCCATGCGCTCCCCCCCCCCGCCCCCGCCGACCGGCTTCGCGGTCCTCGATGTTCCACGCGGCTCGCGCTTCCGCGCCTACTCCGCGCCGCGCTTTGTCCCCGTTTCTGCACTCGCGCCTGCCCTCCTTTCCGTCCCACTGCTGTTCCGATGTACCTTGGCCTTGGCGCTGATTCTGCCACCGCTCCCGACCCCTCTCTCGACTCAATCCCCGCTCCCCACCCCGCTCCAGACCCGCCCAAAACTCCACTCCAGATCCCGTCCTTCTTGCTTCCGTCACCGGTATTGACCCCCCTTACCCCGTTCCACACCCCGCTCCTGTCCTCGCATCCGTCACCTCTCCTCTCCCCGCTGTCCCCGCTGCTCCTCTGTCCCCGCTCCCGACCCTGCTCACGGCCCTCTCCCGCTAACGCCAACGCTTCCGCCTTCGTACACGATCGCCTTCTCGCACGTAGACACCCGGTTTGAGGATCTCGACACGAAGCTTTGTTGAGTAAACATGCCGATTGCAAAATCGAGTTGTAGGTTTCATTAGTCAGGGATGCCGTGACTTACCTGCAAACATACCGCAGTACCAGGCATCCAGCGTTTACGTTTGCAAAGTGAAGAGCGAGCACAAGATATCTTGTGATCTCAAGAAATCGTACAGAGATTGCACTTTCCCGCATATTATGTCACTCAGTTTTTAATGGATTTTGGACGTTAAATAAATAAATAAACAAACCTATGTGTCCCTGATGGTAACAGAAAGATGGCGTTCGGTAACTAGTTAATTGCGTACAAAAGTATTGACACAAGTATTGACATTAAAAGTATATCCAACCTCCCCCCATGCGTATAGAATAGTGAATACAGGGTGCAGTCTGAGAAACACCCGTGCTAATGAACAGGTTTCATTGCATGTTATTGAATATGCCACAGCTTGGGTAGCACTTCGCAGAAAAAAAGGACGATGTCTTTAAGCATTTATCCACAGGTGAGGGCACATTAACATAAACTAGTTTATTCATTGTTACCATAATGTATGACATTGGAGACTATTTTGATGAGGGTAAGCTATGAACTACTTGTTTTCAATTCATTTAATATAATTTATATTTTAAAATATTCAAATGTCTTTCCCGATACTACTGTACCTGAACCAAACGTACTAACATTATCTATCAACTTGAGTTATTGTTTCGAGTAATTTGATGTAATTTCTACAGCACATTGACTGGCAAAAGAAGAAAAATAATAATGGTTGAAATTGATATTTTTTTTGAATTTATGCCTTTGTGAAATCCATATCCTGACTTACAAGTGATTAAATGTGAGACATTATTGTCTAGTTTTCATCTGATTATTGAATTAAATCATCTCAAGACACGAAAATTCATTCAACCAATTTGTTGTGAAACATAATATGAGATTAACGCAAAATATGTCATGAGGTGTGTAAATTTACCATACTTTCATGAGAAACGGCAACGGAATATGATAATATCTCTCCTAAAATAAAATAGTAATCAACTTCGCTTGATATATGACAATTTCTTGGCAAAGTATAAAATTAAGTTTATTGAAATTGTTCTAAATCCAATACATCTAAAAGTACGAGTTCAGTTAAATTCACACACGTAATTTACGGAAAAGAAAAAGGGACTTGAATAACAACTCAAATATTTTTTTTAAAAAAATATCGTAGAACGCGAAAATAATTTCATCCGGAATGCTAATATTTCAACGCGATGGGGGAGACAAACGCACTAAAAATTCGGCAATTACACAGGGGTACGATTCATCCTCCAAATCGCAGGCGTAATCGCGGGGCCTCGCAAACGTTGCACGCGCCGCGTGCTACCACCAGCCCCGCCCGCGCCCCCGCCCCTGCCACCACGGCTGCCGCTGCCACCCGTTTCAGCGACCCGCTTCTATCTGCACGCCCCTCCCGGCGCCGGCGGCTGATAACGAAAATTACTCTTTCATGACAGTGCCTCATTCCGGCGGCAATTACGGTAAATCAATAAATGGGACTGGAGCATACACGGTAACTAATGCAAGGAGGTGTAAAAGAATAAGCTCTCGTTTTCCAAAATACCGGGGAAGCACAGGAGCAAACCCCGTGACCTTGCGGTTAAGGGAAGCTATCACGCTACGCCTGCGGTGCGGGAAATAGCGTGTAAATTATTTAATTCAACAATATTGTGTTAAGAATTTCGAGATTATGGCCGAAACTGCGCGGTCTCGCCAAATAGAGTCATGAGAATTTCGTTAAAAATCAGAAGAAACTAGAGAAAAAAACCTCTCGAGTAGCGTGAAGTTGGTGTGTGCTGTGAACTACGCTCTTCCGAAACCCATTCTTTCTTTTATGTCCCTCGTAAAAAACAAAAATGTGACTATTAACTGCTTCCTACGAGAAAATTGGGAGGGTTTGATGAAAAAGAAAACCGTTCATGCTAAGCCATAGAGAAAGTACAACGAGAGATAAACGCATAAAATTTTCTTTTGGGGAATTTACTAATAATAAAAATGTCAGGGACTCAATCATTTCAGATTATTATTTGGAAGTAATATCTGCAGTTTGGAAACAGTGCCGAAGCAAACAACACCGATTTTGTGGAGAATTGCGATTATGCAATTAGATTCACGATGAGAAATTTTGAACGTAAATGCCAAAATATGAGTTAAGTATTAATTTTTCATATAAAACAAATCATCAAAATTTCACCAAATCATTACGATTTTGTTCAAGAGTAAATACGCGTCTATATTTTGTAATTCCTTTTCTTATCTTTGATTTATGCTAGAAAAAATAAATATCACTTCCAAGACTGCAATATTTTAAACAACTATCTGGGTTAATATGGGAATACATGAATTTCCCAATTAAACAAATACTTCATCTTTCATTAATCGAACAACAATCATGCTGTTGTTATATCCTCACTATGAGTATGATATAAACAATTTTGTAAAAAAGTGTATCCTTTACAAAAAAATATGTGTGTGTGTGTGTGTTACCGCAAATTATAATGTATAATCATAGTTATGGACTAAATTTCGTTACAATTTAATACAGTTATGTTCAAGCGAAAATATCACAGCAGAAATCTTTCACTGAAATACAAAGCTAAACATTCGATTTTAAAAACAATGATTTTACTAACTTGACGCGCAAACTAATATAACTTTCCAGCTGTTCTTTATAGGAGTGATTTGGAGTATTAAAAGGAATACCTTTTAAGGTAGCATCAATTATGCAAAGACATTTGTGTCCATATTTTTTAATTCAAATGCCCCAAATCAGTACTATTAATATACTCAATTTCAGGATTCAAATACTTTAAATCACAAATAAATTGAGTATTGGAGGTGTAACAAAAAATATTGTACACCAGTAAATGAACAAATTCTCTAATTTGCTTATTGCCATGAAGTTTTAGTTAAAGCTATATTAAGTAAACGATTAAACGTAATTATATATTCGGGTTTGCGTATTAACGAATATTACAATTTTTGTTGATCATTGTTTGTAACATCGTCACGTATCTAATCTGCATCAACGAAAGAAATTGGCTCTCGATTTTGCTTAGTACAGGGTATCATCATTTACCAGTGAAGTATCGTCATGTACTGTATTGGTTTCCAATACTGGTTTAAATTCGTAATCACAGAGTAAATGTAACGGTAAGTAATATTTGTAATTGAAAATTAATACCATGTAAGTTAACATGAAAAGACAGATCTAAAAGAATTAAAAAAGAGACATGTTCTTTCGTTCATACATATTCAGATCTCGCTCATGGGGGAAGTACGCTCCACTCACCTTGTGACTGACTCGCCGAGTGGGATGTCCATGATCCTTTGTACGAGGTGTCTGCAAAAAGAACACGTCCAGTATTAGGGGAGAATTAAAGTTCTGTTGAAATCGATGTCTATCGATGATACCCCTAGAAATTGAATAAGAATTCAATATTATTTTTTAATTATTTCCAGGTGTTGAATAATAAATACAAACCTTAGTAACAACAGTTTAAATATTCTCCAACGTTGTGCCCACGAAAATTAAACATTCAAATATTCAGCATAAGTATGGTGCATAGTCTTTTCTAATTCAATTTCAATTCATAGTTACTCTTCAAGAGTGCATATCCCTTCGGTTTCATAAATAGTTTCGTCCTTTCGTAGTTTTCAAAACTCCAGGGACAAAGAAAACACGTAACACACTTTTAATTTAAATATATTTTTCATTATTATAGACGTTTATTATTATTTTACCCGTTTTCATTATTAGCTGCTCTTGACCTAAGAATATACTCGTTTTGTCGAAAACTTCCCACGTTCATTCTTGCCATTTTAATTCTTTAATAACATTGACAGTTTCTACCACAATAGTTATCACAAATAGTACTTACGAATTCTTGGCACTATGAAGCCATGAAATAAAGATCCATGGCGCGTACATGAGTTAGGGAGTAATCGGGGCTGCCCAAACGAAGAGGAATATGAATTTGATGTCCCACCGAACTGGGATGTAAATAAAAAATTGTTATGACGTTTGTATAGAACATTCGAGTTACTGTAAAAAAGTAATCACTGAAGTGATTTATCTCGATATTCCGTTTTTTCTCATGTTTGTTTCAGTGGGTGCAAACATTCGCGTTCTTCAAGTCACCCACATTAACGACTCAACCGAAATAAGCTCAATGTACATTTTTGTGAACAGGACATGCCTCAAATAATATTTTAATGAAGAATCTGATTCAACCCGTCGCGCATTGTTAACTGTGATTTTCAACCACTTTCTCAGCGTAGAAAAATCAAAATGCAAATCATTGAAAGGGTGCTTTTGGCGCACCTGGCCTTGTCATTAAAATGCAAGCTACAATGCCTACCAGCTGTCTCAAACGGACGCAGATTGCCGTGTGCATCTCATTTTATGTTTCACCACCCACGACTGTTAGGAGCAGCTGCAGAGATAACTACTTCCGTGATCGTATTTTCTCGCAACAGTTAACTTTGGACGCCGGGCTACTGAGGTGACGGAATTAATTAACTTTTTGATTCTCAATTAAAATAAATTTAAGGATAATTTTAAACATATTTATTACAAATCAACGATTTGGGAGAGTAATAAATATGAGCCACACTTGTTATTGAAAGTCTTTCACCATTTGATATTGTTACTATCTCCATTATGATTAAAGTGTTGCTTACATTGTTACAGCCTCAAGCCCTGTGCACTGTAAACCAAACAATGTTTATAAACACTTTGACTAAAATTAAAATATTAGCATTTATGAAAAGCGGCAAACTTTCAGACAGAGAGCCTGGTCTAGCTTATCTTGTTACAGCCCGAAGCCTTTCAAATATAATTCAAACAACTTAAAATCATGAACATTCTTGATTGTACATACGCAGAGCTCATAAGTAAACGTAAAAATGAATTAAGCATGGAAAATGAGAAAAGTTTTCATGAAAGTTATATTTATTTCTGCCATCAAAATCTGGATAATATCATCTAATTATTCCTGAATTCTAGTTAAAATGTTGGGAAGAGGTAAACAAGAAAACGTGCGCCGATTGTAGTACTTCTCCCCATAGCGTCATATGCAGTGTTTACATTTCTTTGACTAAATAATTCAAAACTAAACGAACTAAAATAAATGTTGTTCACGAAGTAGATTCGTTCGAGCTCTAACTCCAAAAGATGCGATTTTATGAATCACTAAACCTATCAAAGTTTTCCGTATGAATAAATATAAACACAAACATTGCCAATTTTGAAAAATTCTTACGCGTTTTTAAAATCTAAAATTTAAATAACAATAGGGATATATTATCCGTGTTTGTCATTTTTTGTTGTCAATTTTTGCTCTGAAAATACAGTATAAAGAAATACGGCAAATCATGAGATATACAAAATGAAAAGTGAAATTCAACGACTGTTTAAATTAGATACAAATATTCTGTGATACGCGTTTAATGCGAATTAAGAATTCATTATTATCATTCGTTATTCATTATGTCACGGGAAAACGGAAGATGCAAAAATGACTTATTTTAACTCACTTTTTGCGTAATGAAATAAGCATTTTGTAGTTTGGTGATTCGGCTAGACACAGAATAAAAATATTTAGAATCCAGTTAATTAGAAAATAGAGAATGTAAGACGTTCAAGCTTTGGCAGATAACGGGTCTTCGGGTCAGGATATTAGTTACGAGACATTACAAAAGGAAAAGAATTTTTAACGCAATAACTCCTGATGCAGAATAAAATATGTATGTAAACATTTGTATTGCCATTTTAAAATATAAGTACTTTGAAGAAAAACATTACAGAAATATCACAGATCATTCATTTATGCAAGCCATGGATGAATGGATGAACGATTCCTCTTGTACGTGGTACTTATTCGGTACCTATTTCCAGCATTAAGTAATTATTTAAAATTTCAATTGCGTAAACTCCATAGTAGTGGAAATCGAATTCCACTGGCCCTTAAAAACCTCTATTTACGGAAGGGGGAAAACCACACATAATGAAAATATTCAACCAGTAAAAGACGTTTTGCAGCCAAAATGACAATCTGACGTCTGTGTCTTTTAACAAAAATAATTCGTTGCCAACGTAAACAACATGATTGCTGAAAGGGCTTCTAATTTGAAACAGTCCCACTGCTATGTAATGTCGAAATGGCGGCACGTCTAAAAGAATTAATGCAAATTCAAGAAATTTGTTACCGAGGTCAAGTAAGCAGAGTGACAGATGAGATATTGAAAACATTGAATAGAGAATTTTTACTGTCAAACGATTTCCCTTCTCGTGGATACAATGGTGAAATAATGAAAAATAAAGATTTAGGTAAATAGTAATGAATGTTTAAGAACGAATTAAAAGAAGTTTCAATATGCAATAGTGCAGATATTAAAAATAAATCCTTAAACATATTAATTACATGGATATGCAGATCTTTATTTTTGGTTTCGTATGGTTTCCACTTCAATGAAAAGAAAACAGCTGAAATTGTCAATAGTAATGACCATATGTTCAAGTTTCCAATTTACTTTTCATATTCATGCAATGCTGTTGTCAGTTTTTACAGAAAACAATCGCTAATTACATAGAGGCACATGTTTCAGGTAAAAGCTAAAATATAAACCAAAAATATCTCAGACAGAGGAGACACAATTGAGCTGTGATAGATGAAATAATGTGGTGAACTGTGAAAAATGAACGCATGCTCAAAAATGCAATAAATCAAAATTCAAGTATGCATGGGTAAGATCACATGCAACAATATTTTTAAAATATTAAAAAGATAAAATTTCGTTGTGACAGCAGATATATTGTAGTAATCTATAATAATTGAGAATCTAGGAGGTAAAATCCACAAAGGTTATTAATTTTTTTTTAAATATTAAAATTAATCTGATATACGCATGTTTCGGGAAATTTCTTCCCACCTTCCATAATCATGTTAAAAAGATTTCATCTCCAGTTTTCCTCACTAATATAATGATAGTTACATATTTGAGAAAGTGGTCAAAATTAGCTGACCTGCGTTTCTGGAAAATGATAAATTAACTGTACACACATTAGAAGGAACAGCGTGCATTGAAAAGTCAACATTTATTAGTCTATATACGAGATTAAAGTTAGCAAGATGTAATACCAAAATATAGGAGATTTACAATGTAATCCGTTAATCAATTATATGAGAAAGTAGGCAACAATAACACTGCACGTTGCCAAGCGTTTCGGTTTAATACAAACATTAAGTTCACTGACAGATCAACGTGCGATTAAATTATATAAACAACACACGGAATTGAATTTGTCAAACGTAATGATGAGAAGAAACAGATTTAAAAAGGCAGTAGTCTGAACATTTGCAATCAACTAAAAGTTTTTAAATACGTAGTTTTCGTTGATGTTTTACTATTTTCACGGATTTGAGAAAGTAAGCAACGATGCTACATGTTTCTCGTAAGTTATAAAAACATTTTCATTGAGTAAACACAGTGAGGGATTGAATAATAAAAAGCAGAAATTGTGCCTGTCAATAATAATGAATTCGAAAAAATGTAAATCGGCAGGATTGGCACAATTTCACGATGAACTAAAAGTTCAAATAGGAATTTTTTCTGTTGATGCAATACGATTGTCACCTACTTGAGACGTAGACAACTTTTATATTGCATGGTGACACGTTCCTGGTAAATCATAAAGTAAACGTGTACTGAGTGGAAAGTGTGGAATTGAATATTAAAAAACTGAAATAGGGGCCATTCAATAATAATAATAATGAATGCGATAAAAGAAATGCAAATAGGCAGGAGTGCCAAACATTCCCAATGAACTAAAATTCGCGATATGGAGCTTCCGAATTCACATAATATGATTGCCACGTATTTGAGATAGTAGACAATTTTTAAATTGCATGTTGACACATGCTTCTGCTAAACTATAAAAAGAACATTCAATAAATGAACAGAGTGTGAGCTTGAAGAATCACAAACAACTGGGTCTTTCATTAAAAAAGAATGCGAAAACCGAAATGTAAATAAGTAGATATTCATAATGAACTAATATTTGAGAAATGGAACTTTCGGATTCACGTAACACGATTGACACGTATTTGAGAGAGTAGCCTAAATGTAAATAAACAGACATATATAATGAACTAAAATTTGAGGAATGGAGCATTCGGATTCAGGTAACACGATTGACAAGTATTTCAGCAAATAGCCGACATTGGGCATGCACGTTGGCGCGCCACGTGAGACCGTAAAATTACAGCAGTTGGCTGACGTTCTGTAAAAGCCTAGCTCTCACAGGCGCGGCATTGGTGTACCAGGCAGCGTGCCTCGGCTGTTCCTGGCGAGTTTCGCTGAGACATATCCAAAAGCCAATCACCCTTAGGTAAACATGGCAGAAGAGCGAATTGAATCGAGGTTCGTCGGCACCTGATGCGACTTCAAAAGGAATCTGGAATCTGCCGACGCGGCTGGCTCCAGGCCGGAGTCTTAACCGCCATGGCAAAGTGGCGATTCGTTTGCCGGCATGGCGACCGGAGGCCGCTGGCGCACAGCGGCTGGACGCTCCTAGAACCGCGGGGGCGCCCCGGTCCCGCTGGGCCGCCGCCTACCCCCGCCTCCCTCTCAGATCGCCCGCTTTGCACCCGCCATCCCTGACTCGCTGCGACTCTACTCCTGGGCCAAACCTCCGACCCGCCCCGCCCTCCAACCCTGCAACCTAACCAAATTTCAATGAAAAGCCAAAAAACTGTAAGAAAATCGTTTATGGGTGGAGCGAACGATAACAAAAAAAAAAAAAGCCGATAATTTTACGTGTTGTTATTTTCAGAACCCAACTTCTCGCCTTCAACACCTACTCACTCTCTTCCCCTTTTCGTATGATACGGGGTTTTGGGTGCGGCTTCGGGTCTTATTTTTCCCTCCCTTCGCCGTTTTTTTTTATAGCGGCACTGGGGTGCAAAGATTCTGTCACGAATCATGCTCTCACGTTGCATTTAAATAATTCTATTAGGAACATGTCTATTGTTTTGCATGCCGTTTCTTTAAGTTGTAACGCCATAAATCCGATTTGTTTATGAGCATGTTCCACCTTCAAGTTAGACCTTGCATTTATTGAGGAGCGGTCTTAAGAGCGCAAAGGGAGCGCCGTACTGCTTGTTTTCGTATGCAGTGTGCCGGCGGGTTCCATTGCACGTCGATATTTTCGTGATAGCGAGCACGTGGTGGGCGTGTTTTGAATTATCGGGCCTCGACTTGGCCTTTTTTTGTGGAATTAGACATGAAGTATGTAATTCAAAGAAAACTGACGGTTCCGGAAAAGACTCTTTGTTTTGGATGTTGTAAGAAGTAATGCACATATTTGTATTTGTGCTCTCAGTTCGTGAAATATTTGAGTCTGCGAAACGATTTTTATGGATTTGATGAAGATGATAGACATAAACAGAAAAATGGAAAACAGATATGGACTATGTGCGTACATTCGTGACTGAAGATTCATATCATCTTAGATTTGTCTATGCAGATGTGAGAGGAATCAAATTGATATTCTCTAAAAGGTTTATTTTTCTGCAAAACTCTGCATTATTTCGTTTTTAAACGAAGTTTTTCCAACATATCACTCAAGTTCAGTAATGTGTGTGAATTATTACCACTTTGTAAATAAAGAAACAAAATTAATAAGTATTGGTGAAATTTCTGCTGATATATGATTGTTTTGGTAGAAGATGATACTCTGAGAATTGCATTATCCTTTCAAGATATAATATTTCTAAGTTATAGCCCCAAGTGTTTATATTGTTTTATTATCTGTAGGAAATTAGTTTATTTATTTAAACAACTTCATGTCGAATAGTAGATTTGTTTATTATTATTCTATAGTAATGGTAACTTGACGAATTTCAAATTAATACTTCTCTCTTGCAGATGTAAGCAATCTAATATTACTAACGTGTTATTTATACAAGAATTTTCCCGCTGATTTCAGGTCTATTACGTCAATAAGAGCATGCTAATGTAAATTTTTTCTCATTATATTTTTGCTCTAAATATAACAAGCTTGAGTCACTAAAAGAAGGTATGCAACTTTTTATATAATGTCCATACATGAATAGTTTTAAGGACATAAAACAAAATGTTAATTAATTATTTTACAGGCAGTCACAGGAGTGCTTTTTAATAATTTGACTACCTTGTACATGCCTGTAAATATTTTGATTCTAATATTCGACTAGTTTTATGTATTTGAAAGTGAAATATCACAGAGAATAGTACTTGCAAAACAATTAAGATCCATAAATGTTTGTTCGGTTAATAAACCAAAATTTCAAATTATAAATCAACAGTATGCATCAGCAGAAAACATAATCAAAATGTTCTAACACTGTTTTCTTTAAGAAATGCAGCACGTGCACTTCTCTTGCAGATCACATGCTTCCAAAATGCTATTTTAATTCACAATAAAGAGGGAAATTCTTCAAAAATATGTATATCTTAAAATTAATGCTTGCTAATACATTCGATCTAATTTTGCATCATACAACGGCCCAGTAGTCTCATATAATAGATTTCTACTTGGACTCGTTGACAGATACGCAAATGCTAAGGAACAACAACACCGTCTACGTATGTTTACGCTTCAGTGAGGTAGCATGCGCTCAACAGAACACGATGACTCTATCAGACATTCTGAAAACGACAGGCGTCTCCTACATGCAAACGCGCCAATCTGCCCAGCGTCGAGTGTAGCCAGTAAGACGTTTATTTACCAGCAAAGAGCATGGAGAAATTGGTGAAGGTCCCCGTCCTGCTGAGGTAGTCAGCCGAGGTCTTGATGTCCAACATGGTCGGCAGCTCGAGAGGGCTGAGACAGGCGGCAGCGGCGGCGGCGGCGGCGGCGGAGGTGCGGCACGCTTAGACGTGGCGGTGGTGCACCGGGCACTCGGCAACGAGACGACGGGTGCGGCGCTGGCGAGGGGGCTGGCAACGAGAGCGCTGGCGGCGGGGCCGGTGCGCGCGGGCGCACGTCGGCCGACGGACGAGGTCGGACGCGGCGGGCTGAGGCTGAGGCTGGCGGCAGCAGGGCGGCGGGCGCCGGCGTCGGCCGCGTCGTCTGGGCGCCGTCCGAAGAGGCAGGGTCGCGGGCCCGCGCACCGAGCGCCGTGCGGCAACAGCATGGTGGACGGGCGTTCGGAGCGCGGCGAGCGCTGCGCGCTGCCGCGACGGCCGTCTTCGAACCGCGCGCGTCACATCCACATTCGTGGCTGGAATCTTGCTGCCGCGGAGGTGCACGGGAAGACGGATGGCACTAGCGGGGGCGGGCGGCGAGGGGGGGTCAGCCGCAGGCAGACCGGCGCGGCTCGGCGGCTGCGGGGCGCCCTTCCCTCTCAGGACACGGGCCCGAAGGCGCCCGGCGCTTAGCCACCGTCAGTCGGCGTCGGGTTCAGCAGCGTCTCCGTCAGGCGCCTGTCCGGCTACCCGCCGCCGACGTGTGGCAAACGCCCCCAGAATGAGACGGGCGCGCGTGTCGTGGGGTGCGGCGTAAAGCGGCGAGCGGTCCGCGGCGCGAGGCTGCGCCACGTCGGTGCTCTTATCGGCCCTCGCCGTCCTCGGCGCCCTCAATGGTCGGCGCGTGCGACCCGTTGCTCTTCGCGCGTGCTCGCTGCGGGCGCCGGTTCGCGCACGATGCGACACGCCATAACAGCACACTGCCTGCGGTGGCCGAGCGCCTGACTGCCGGAGCTCGCCTTTCCTGCCTGGCTCGCGCCACTCTTGTGCGCTCGCTTCCGCTCGTTCGCTCGTCCCTCGGCTCTTCGGCTGCGCGCGCGCCGCTCCGGGTCGGTCGTCCGGCGGTTGGGCGCGGTGGAAGCGAGTTCTCGTTAATGGATCGCCGCCGCGACGTGCGCGTTTTTGGCCGGCCTTCTCGAGGCGCTCGTTTAACGTCGGAGACGGGCGCGGGCGATCCGCCCTGAACGGGGTAACTATATCAGAGATGGCGACCAATGACTCAGCATGAGTCCCGCCGTGTGGCCGCGGCTCAACCATGCTGTGCGCCACGTAGCGTTCTCCAGCACCCCCCACCACCTGTGGTCGAAGGTGCACGCGGGCGCTCCTGCCTTCACCCCGTCCGACTGCCACCGGCGAGGGCGGCCACCCCCTCTCTGTACGCGCTTCGCCGCTCCGCGCGCCGCGCGCGGCGGCGGCGGCGGCGGGGTGGCGGCCGGGGCGGAGCAGGGTGCCGCGGGGGGCGCGCGGGGCGGATGCGAGGAGGGGGCGGCGGCCGGCGGTGGCGCGCTTCTCTCTCGCAGGGTTGGCTGAAAGAGCTGTTGCCGGCGTCGCGCGGCCGGGTGAAGAGGAGCGCGCGAGAGCGCCGCTGGCGAGGTGGGCGAACTTGAAGGGTAGCTTGCGACAACACGCGTTGCATGTTATGGAGATAGACCGTTTCTCTTCCTTTGGCTTTAAAAGATTATATGGACACAAACAGGGCGTGTCTCTGGCGAGGTTTTTACATCCGCGGCGCGGGCGCGCGCGAGGCGGCCATCGATTCAGCAGTACGCCCGGGGCCGCAATACGGGGCGCAGCCCGGGGTTAATCTTGCGGCGGCGGAGCCGGAGCAGCGCGGAGGCGCGCGGGGCGGGGCGCGGAGACCGAAGCGAGGCTTGTGGTGGCGGCAGCGTCTCCGGCGCCATTGCGTGTCAGTGGAGCGCGCGAGGCATCCACCACGCCGCGCCGCGCCGCGCCGAGCCGTTTCTACCGGCGACACCGCCCGCAGCTGGGCTGGCGCATTTCCACAGATGGGCAGATCGGCCCCTGCAGTGCTGTTCCGGAGCCATGGCCGGCGCGCGAGGAAAGAGCTTTGCGGAGCCGAGCGGGGCGGTTCGCGAGGCGGGGAGGGGCGGGGCCAGGCTTTATTCGCGAATGACAGTTACCGCTGGGCTATGTCGTTCGAGATGAGTGGGACGTTAATGCCAAATTCATGTTTTAGTTCCGCCTTTTAACATTTCTTTTGGCGTTGGTGTTATCGCGACTTATCTCCGCGAGTTCTTTTCTCATTCGGAAGGCATTTTTAGCAATCTTGAAATAAAGAAGTGAGAGCCGATTTCGTGTTTCTTGCGGGACATGTGTGCGCTTGAAAGTTCCGTCCAATCACAGGGATAACGACCTAAGGTTCCATACGAAGAAATATAAATATACTTCTTCCTCATACATCGCATTTAGTAATTTTTGTAAATGAATAAAAATGTATATACAGATTTTACCCACACAACTTTATACATTCTAATGCTTTGTCTTTTTTTACTTAATCAACACAAAGAATACTCCATTCTCTCTTTTTTTTCAAAAGTTTTGGATCTGATATAAATATCGTACAAAATAAAACGGCGCAAAACAGCATTACCAAATGCTCATTATTCCGTAATCTACCAGTTTCATATTGACTAATTGCAATCCAATATTCTAATTCTCATAAAAATGAAAGTGAAATAGAAGACACTGAAACGGGAAATAGTAGACTAAACTCAAACCATTTTCAGATATGACAGAGCTTGATTTCTTGTTCCAAAATCTTTCATTGATGTGTCACATCCCGTGCTTTCTGGAAATTATACGGGGTTAGACACTGATATATTCTACTTTGGAATTAGATTCATTGTAAAGTACATTCAGTGGTAACTCATAAAATGGATATTTTATTATAATTTTCTTTAACTCAATTTTTTTTACATTTCAGACAATTAAAAGATAATGAGAAATAAAAGTATGAGGTCATTAAATCAAAAGATATCTTGTCATTGTGATATCGTCTCTTGAATATATACTAAAATCAACATGAATTGATGCATCACTTGGTCTCATTATTTTCTCGGGCAAAGACGCATCAACAAATTAGAGAAATACAAAAAACTTGCTTTTGTACTGTTTTCTGAAGAAAACACAAAACGAGTACAATTGGTTTGTATATAACATTTGCTATAAAATGTGATTATGGAATTTCCTAGTCTTCTTTATTTTTAAGTCATTTTTTTCGCAGTCAATTTGACAGTTGTCCTATGTTCATTCATTAGTCATTAATAACATTTAGTCTCTTATTATACTGAAATGGGGATAATTTGACGATTCAGTAGAATATGAAGATTTCCGTCTTCCACATGTGGACAACATTCAGTGGAAATTGGCCACCAGTCATGGAAATGAAGCGGGAAAATTCCTGTCGTAGCCGAAGCATCCGCGGAAGTATATCAAAGGCATTGTCATGGAGCCGCATTTTAACACGTGATCATGTTTTCTGGAAAAAAAAGAAAGAAAAGCAAACAAACGTAGCAGCATATGTCTGTGAAAACCATTGTTCCGCATTCGTTGCTCATTGAAATAGTTATACTCGAAACAAAACTTCAGTTTTCACCTGTGTATTTTCGTAAGGTTCTAACAGCATCTGTCAAGGAGAAAAAATCCCTTTTACATGAAATGTAGAGTACGTATGAATACGTATACATTTATAAAATTCTAAGAAAGAATAGTCATAAACATATGTTACTCGGGTTCTGGGTAATTCACAATCGATCGAACTCATAAACTTGAACTACATAATATAAAACAAAAACACAGTTCAACTTTAGGTTGGTTAGTAGAGATAGAATAACGGCTGCATTAGTATGCCGTTTGACGTGTTAGTTTCTCAAAATCTATTTTACTCACTCTGCTCTACGAGCTTCGCGTTCGGGTTGGATCTCTGCTGCCTCTGTGGCGGAGGTGCCTGCTGCTGCAGTTGCATTAGTTGATGCGCTGTAAACGAAAGATGTGCTCAGAAAAAGGGGAGACGACTTATTACCTAATAGATGAAAGGGGTTGCTTTTTTTAGGAACTGTGTGTACATATCAGCAGACTACCAGGTAAAAGAAGTCGTTGAATATTTTACTCTTATGTTGAAAAGACTTTTGCACATAAAAATATCTAATTCTCACTTCTTTCGCAATCATTTTTACTTATTTCTACTGTTAGAATATGTGACATTTGTTCGATTGAACCACCGATGCGTAGGTTCGACCTCGAAAAGTATGGTTCTTTGAAAGAGATGAACGAAATATACTTAGAGTACATAAAACTCTTTCTTGTGAAAATCATTTTTCTGCATTCGTTGCTGGTTGAAATAATTATACCCGAAACAAAACTTTAGTTGTTCCTCAGTTTCCACCTGTGTTTTTTCATAATGCCTTGACGGCAACTGAGTATGTAATACAAACATTACACAGAAAACGTAAAGAATATACGCAGACAGTTAAGAAATCAAACACGGAAAGTCGCGAACATTACATAATACTCAGTAGTAATTTATAACCCTCTCACTCTCAAATTTTGGGTATTACATAATATAGTACAAAAGCACAGTTCAGCATTCAATTACGTTGGTTAGTAGAGATTAAATAACGGCTGCATTAACATGCCGGTTTCGGGTGTTAGTTCCTAAAAATCTATTCTACTCACTCTGCTCTAGGGGCTTCAGGTTTGGGTTGGGTCTCTGCTGCCTCAGTGGCGGAGGTGCCTGCTGCTGGAGCTGCATTAGTTGATGTGCTGTAAACGAATATTGTTTTCAGAAAAAAGTGAGACGATTTAATAGCTATCTGATGAAGGGGTGTGTTTTTTTAGAAACCGTGTGTTCAGGCCAGTAGTCTGTCAGGTCAAAGACGTTGAATATTTTCTTAGCGTGTTGAAAACGTCTCGGCCGATGAAAACCGATTTCATTCCCTCTTCTTTCATAATAATTTTTACCTATTTCAACTGTTAGAATATGTGATAATTATTCAATCAAACCACCGATGTACAAGTTCTTCATTTGAAAAAGTTGGTTCTTTAAAAGAGGAGAGCGAAATATGTTTAGAGTAACACATACTATTACGTGAAAATTATTGTTCTTAATACGTTGCTTGTTAGAATTATCAGACTGAAAAGAAAACTTTAATTGTTGACCGGGGTCCACCTCTGTGTTTTCATATTGTCCTGACGACATCTAAGTATATGAAAAAAAAGTGTTAGAGAAAACGTAGAGTATACGCAGCCATTTAAAAATCAAACAAGGAAAATCGCGAACATTGCATAATAATGGGGTTTTGGAAACTAATTCACAAATTTAGAGAACTACGAACTATCTAACGAAGACACAGTTCAACTTTCAATTAAATTTCATTAATAGATATTGAATAAAGGCTGCATTAGCAAGATGGTTTGGGGTGTTAGTTCCTAAAAGGCTATTCTACTCACTCTTCTCTAGGGACTTCATGTTTGGATGGGATCTCCGCTGTCTCAGAGGCGGAAGTGCCTCCTGCTGAAGCCACATTAGCTGGTGTGCTGTAAACGAAAGATGTGTTCAGGAAAAGGTAAGACGACTTATTACCTATCAGATGAAGGGGATTTGTTGTTTTTAGCAACCGTGTGTTTATGCGAAGAGTTCTGTCACATTTAAAAAGTCGTAGAATATTTTGTTTCTGTATTGAAAAGACATTGGCATATGAAAATCGAATTCATTCTCTCTTTTTTCGCAATCATTTTTACCCATTTCTGTTTTTAGAACGGAAAATATTTCGATCAAACCACCGATGTGCATGCTCACCATTCTAAAAATTTGGTTACTTGAAAGAGTTCAGCGAAATATGCTTAGAATGCAGATTACTTAATAATACTACTCTGTAGTAATTTGTAACCGTCAAACTCACAGATTTAAAGATCTACACAATATCGAAAAAAGACACATTGTAACTTTCAATTAAATTTGGATAAAAGGCATTACATTACAGATGCATGTGCAAGTCGGTTTGGGGTGTTATTTTCTGAAAATCTATTCTACTCACTCTGCTCTAGGAGCTTCGGGTTCAAGTTGGATCTCTGTCTCAGTGGCGGAGGTGCCTGCAGCTGACGCTGCATTAGTTGATGTGCTGTAAACGAATATTGTTTTCAGAACAAATTGAGACGATATACCTAACAGATGAAAGGCATTGGTTGTTTCTAGAAAATGTATGGTCGTGACAGAAGTCATACAGGTTGAAGGATTCAGAGACAGGTTGAACATTTTGCTGGTATGTGAAAGAGAAGTTAGCAGATGAAAGTATTTCGTTCATTTTTTCATCGTAATATCTCGACCTATTACTATTGTTAGTCTATGTGACTGATTTGTACAGTCGAACTGCTGACGTATAAGTTTAGATGTTTACAAAGATATTCGAAAAATGTTGTCCTTTGGAAGGAGATGAAAGAAATATGCTTAAAGTAAAGCAAATGTCTTCCATGAGAAAATACGATTTCTTCATTCGTTGCCTGTTAAAATAAAGAAAACTATTTGTGGACCGGTTTCTACTTGTCAACATTCATCATTTTCTGACCAATCAGTATGAAAAAAACGGAACAGAAAATGTGGAACCAGACTTTTAAAGAAAGATCGAACAAGAAAAGTCGGAAACACTAACACTCACGTTAACGGTAATTCACAATCCATCGAACTCACAAACTAGGTGAACTTCATAATAACGAACAAAAACACAGCTCAGTAGTCAATTAGATTTGGTTAGTATAGATTGAATAACGGCTGCTTTAAAATGCCGGTTTGTACTGTTAGTTCCTCAAAATCTATTCTACTCACTCTGCTCCAGAAGCTTCTGGTTCGCGTTGGGTCTTTGCTGCCAAAATGGAGGAGACAGCTGCTTCATTTGCATCAGTTGCGCTGTAAACGAAAGTTGTGTTCAGAAAAAAATAATATGACTTACTGCCTAACAGGTGAATGGAGATTGTTTTCTTTTAGAAAGTGTATGTTCGTGTCAGGAGTCTGCTAGATTGAAAAAGTCGTTAAACAATTTTCTCTTAAGCCGAAGTGATTTCGCAGATAAAATATTTAGTTTCATCTCTATTCTTTCGCAATATCTCCACCTATTTCTGTGGTCGAAATATTTGACTACTTGGTACGATCGAACCACTTATGCGTAAGTTAAGATGTTTTCAACACACATCGAAACATTTGGTTCTTCGACATCAGGAGGGAAATGTGCACCGAGTGTCGCATATTTCTTCCATTCTCAAAGGTGTTTGAACTATTCAACTAATGATACTCGTCAATGAGGTACTTCGGCTATAATTTGTTTGCCTCTTCCAACGCCGCCTTGCATTCCCCAGCCGTGTCTTTCCCCGCCCTCCGTGTCCTCCCCGCCCTCCGTGTCCTCCC